CCTCCATGTGACTGATTGACTGATCAGTCACATGGAGGCAGGGCTTAAAAGCCTGAATTTTTCCTGAAACTCTCAGACTGAAGAAGTCTCTTGGAGGAGAGACGAAACGTTTCATTAGAGAAGAACCCGTCCAGAGGACCTATACAAGTTTTTTTCTTTTTTACTCTATGTGCTAAGTTTTTTTTTAATTACTGCATGTATTTGAGACTCTTAATGTGAAAGGTTGACATGAGTTCTGCTGCAGCAGGAGTAATAGACCTCTCATACTGGTTCTACTAAAGTAGGTTTTGTATTTAACCCAGTAAACGTGAACTAATAACAGCAAAACAGCTTCTAGGTTAAGTCTTGAAAAATGACTTTTTGTTGAAACTTTTAACCCCATTAATATGTTCATGTAAAAAAAAAAAACATTTTGAGCGACCCTAAAACACTGCTGTAAGAAATGTGTGGTTTTTAATATGCTTTACACAAATTTCATCTTTTAAAGCAACGAAACAGAGAAAAAGACAATTGTTTTTAATTTGAACATTTTATTTTGATGTTTTAATTTACCAACTCGTGCAGGAGACGGACAGCTGGTCTGTTAGCAAAATATCTGCCAGTCTGCTCAGAAAACAAAACCCTGCTGGCTTCTGAGTAAACTCTTGGTGACTCCTGTGTTCCAATAAATGTTCAAACTGAGAAAATAAGTTATCAGAAAACGGGGAAAAAACATTTCAAGTTTGTATTTAATACAAACGGACTATCTGTACACTCTTGTCTGCAAAATAGATAAGCGCAGAAGTAAAAATAAACAGCCGTATAAAAATAGAGTTAAAAACAGTGCAGCCTTTAGGATTAATGTCAGCGATGAGAAGAAAAAAAACATTTTATCAGCTTAAAATATTTCAGGACTTGCTTCCCATCGTCACCTGATTTCTTTTTTTTTTTTTCTTCACAGCGAGCTCAAGAAGTCCTTCACCTGAAAATAAAGCAGAAACAGAGAATATTAAGCTTTACAGCAAGTAGAAACAGGAAACTGTGGCACCGAGTTTCCTGTGAGCACAGTCGTCTGCTTTCACCTGAAAAAAGCTCGTGTTTACCATCAACACAAAACTGCCCAATAAGCACCTTTTTAAAGCCTCATCGTGTGAATTTTCAGTGTGAGTGTGTGTGTGTGTGTGCAACACATCCACGCTCTYCTTGCTCCAAAAAGCAGTTTAGTGTCATTTTACAAGTTTTCTACAGCGCTCGCTATTTCAGGACGTAGACACGTCCGCGCAACTGCAGAACAAAAAAACATCGCTCACTTTTCTGAATACTTAAATATTTCAACTTTTGAGTTTTTAATTCATTTATATTTTCCCCTAAGTCTACTGCGTGTACCGACATTTACTTTACATTTAGGGGAAATGTTTGAGCGGTGATTCTGATATTTTAAAACAGAACGTTGAGACAGCATTTTTGTTCTGAGTTTACTGTCCAAATCTGTGAGTTCAAGTAAATAAAATGTTTGTTTTTTTTAATTAAGTTGCCGTTTAGAGGAAAAGCAAAGAGAAATTTCAGCGACATGAAGAAAGTCTACAGGAGTGAAGCAGAGAGACACACCGGATGGAAAAAAAGTGTTAAACCATACGATTGTGATGATTGTGGGAATAAAAATATACTTTTTAATTTATTTTAAAAATGTATTCATTTCATTTAAAAACAAAACAAATGTCATACATATAATAATAATAATACAACACAAAGAAAATGAAAGGTAGCAGAAAGAAGAAAAATATTCTTATTGATATCTGCCCCTTTCTCAAAAATAAATAAATTGAAACAATAATAGTCTTCAAATAACAAAACATAAATAAGTCCTTCTTGAATGATTGTTATGAATGCACATATACAAATTCATATTTCTTCATCAATCTAACTGTAATCGTTCTCTTAAATAAATTTATTGAGTCAGCATTTTTATAATCACTTTCTAGATCATATTCGTTGGACTGAAGTAGCTCTGTCCTTCAAATTTATTCAGATTTTGAACGTTACAAACCTCTCTACACCCTTAAGGTTATAATTTCTTACTCTCTTAACAAAATTTAATTGAATATTTAGAGGTATTAACTTTTAATGAGCTTTATACATATCTGCAAAATATTATGATCAACCAACTCATAACATTTCAATAATTTCAACTGATAAAATCATATATTTGATGGGTGACTGAAATGTTTTCTGTGATAATTCTTACAGCTCTTTTCTGTAAAATAAAAATAGGATTTGTTATTGTTTTTCATGCTTTCCTCCAGACTTCAACACAATAAATCAAATGTGGAACAACAAAAACAAAGCACTGTCATTAAATAAGTCTCTTGCTTTATACAATACTGCAATGGATTCGGCTGTTTTTGTTCTGAAGTGATTTATGTGGGATTTCCATGTCAGCTTTTCATCAATAATAAACACCCAAAAATGTCACTTCATTGAATTGAAAAATGCAGATAGCTCAAAAATCAACACAGTTAAACCAGACGTCTCCAGTCCTGGAGGACCACTGTCCACACCTGACTCTGAGAATTACCTCTTCAAGCTCTGCAGACGTCAAACCAAGTGCGTTGGAGCAAAGAAACTCCTAAAACCTCTGACCTTAACTGGTTTGAATTGGTTAGACATTAAAATGTTAGTTCAGTTGTGTAAAAATCCAGTGTGTGCAAATAACAGACAATGACATTTTTACTGTGAATCGAAATGAGTGCCTTCAGGCAGAACTGGTGGAAATGCACAGAATATAAAGACCACCATTAGACAGAATGAATGCATGAGAACCGTCACCCTATTATCTGTGTTTTTATGTTCATATTTTTTGTTGGTTTTATTTTCTCAAATATGTTGATTGTTCAAGTTGAAGTTGTTTGAATTTGTTTTTAATAAGGGGAAAATATATTTTTTCTTCTTTCTGACCCCTTTTCATTCATTTATTTTGTGCTTTTAATGCAAGTTCTGTTGTCCTGATGCATCTCAGTAATCCAGGTAAAAATTCAAAAGGAAAAAAATTGTATAGGTCTTCTGGACGGTTTCACACACACGACAGGCCCTGGAGCAGTGTGGTTATCCTGACTGGGCTTTCCTGAAAGCAGACAGGAAAAACAAACAGGATTCCATGCAACCTTCAGGTGAAAATGAAGACCCCAAACCCAGACCCAAACCAGTGGTTATTCCGT